GGCTGTAAGAAAGAAATTAGTAGATAAAAGATTGTCAAGAAAAACACAGAATCAGCCCGGGACAGGGGCCGGGAATTCGCGGTGGAATCCCTATTTAAACGTTAAAGTATATTTCAAAAAGTCCCAAAAGTTGTTGGTGACTGAAGTCACTACAACAAGAAAGCTAGGCTGTAAGAAAGAAATTAGTAGATAAAAGATTGTCAAGAAAAACACAGAATCAGCCCGGGACAGGGGCCGGGAATTCGCGGTGGAATCCCTATTTAAACGTTAAAGTATATTTCAAAAAGTCCCAAAGTTGAGATAGTGAACAGGGCAAACAACACAAAAAATTAGATGATTTTCGACAAATATGTTTTCAGAAAAACCTCTCAAAAAACCTCTGGTCACGCTGCGGCGGCAACAAAACGGGAACTGTGTTGATTTCATGAAGGCAAGGGGTATTTATTGATTTCTTTTCTTGCTCTTGATCAAGGAGGCTTGATCAAGGGCAGGGAAATCTTGAAGGCCTGGGATTGGCCGAAAAATTAGTAATCGAAGACGTCTTGGCGCCAAGACAGACGTCTTGGCGCCAAGAAATTTTTATTTTTTCTTGGGGAGGGGAAACCGTTGACGGATTTCATCCGTTTTTTACGCGCGGGTGGTTTTCCACCCGATTAGATATTTTTAATTGATTTTAAAAACGAGAACTGTGTTGATTTTATGAAAGCAAGGGGTATTTATTGATTTCTTTTCCTGCTCTTGATCAAGGAGGCTTGATCAAGGGCAGGGAAATCTTGAAGGCCTGGGATTGGCCGAAAAATTGGTAATCGAAGACGTCTTGGCGCCAAGGCAGACGTCTTGGCGCCAAGAAATTTTTATTTTTTCTTGGGGAGGGGAAACCGTTGACGGATTTCATCCGTTTTTTACGCGCGGGTGGTTTTCCACCCGATTAGATATTTTTAATTGATTTTTATTCGGTGGTGCGCCGCGAGTCCCCAACAAGGGGGGGGGAAACCGTTGACGGATTTCATCCGTTTTTTACGCGCGGGTGGTTTTCCACCCGATTAGATATTTTTAATTGATTTTTATTCGGTGGTGCGCCGCGAGTCCCCAACATAAGCTTTTGGATTGTGATTGGAAGTATCCGGGGAAAATAAATCTGTAGAAATTCCTTAATAGTTTAACCTTCGAATTATGTCCATTGAGTTTCCTCCATTTTTTTCTGAAGCAGAAAATTTAAATATTGCGCTTAATCTGGATCGGAAAATGTTCGAGTATTAGTCCCATCTGATGAATTCCTTAGAATTTTGGCGCATCAAATCAAAATACTGTATTTCAAATTCTCTGATGCTGGAGAAGGCTGTTGACATAATATGTGTTTTCATATTCGAATGACAAGAGATTGTATCTGAAGCGCCTGAATGTCTAATTTTTGAATCTTTTCGAAACACGAAATTGTTCGGATCATTAGTTTGAATATGAGAGTTTGATTCAAAAACTATTGCAAGGTGTTCGAACACTGACATTTCTTCATATCGAAGGCAATCAATGCAATTTGATTTAATAATTTAGTCGGTGGGGGAATCGGACAGTTTAAAAACTGCTTTGCCAGTGGAAAATTTTTAAAAATCAACAAAATTCCATCTTCATTGACCATTAGCAATTTAAGTAGTCGCAGAATTTAAGATCAACACAGCATATACTGTACAGTAGAATTCAAGAATGTCTCCTGCTGATTTTCGTGTTACTCTTTTTTGTTCCAGTTTTTCAATATTTCAATATTTTTCTGAACCGACAATTGCAGATATTTTTGGATTCATCGGTCGTTGAAGCATATCAATTTTTTGAAGATTTTTCAGTATATCTTCGGAACACAACTTATTCCACGGCTTGAAATTTTGTCAAAAGACCGACTTTCCAANGAGATGGCTGGTACTTCAAGAAATGAAACTGGGGCAATCGCTGGTCTTGGAGATGAGGAGATTCTTCAATTTAATTTGGGATTGGATTTAAATGAAGGCGACCGCCCATTTCGTATGTTTTTTGAAACGTTTTTAAATGACGAATTGTTATTAACTATCTCGTTATAATAGGTCATTGGAGTTCAATCTTTGAAGTATCAAAATTCATGCCCGACAATTCTCCGACGTATTTTAATAATGTTGGGAAATCAATGAAGTTAACTGATGCTGTTTTCAAGGAGCTGAAGTCTAATCAAGTTAAGGTTCCGTTGCCAGTTCCAGGGACTTTGGTTGCTGATTTCGACTTTAGTACTGCGAAGTTGGATTTTACCACGGATTCGAGAAAAAATACGAAGAGAAGAGCTGTTCTCATCATTGCAACGTCTTTATGTAGTTCTTTTCATTTGCGTGGAAAGGACTTTACTTTTCGTACCCGTATTCGTGCTGATCAACGGACTGAGCGTGCTGTTCCAAATTTTTCGCATTTGGTTGAGGATTTAGATGTCGACATTTATCAGGTATTTTTGATAATGTTAATTTTTGAAATATTGCTAATATTATTAATATTTTTCAGTGGTCTATGTCCGGCTGGTCCGTGGTCTGTGGGGATGGATCGATGTCTTCTACCAATCTGCGAAATCGGGTTTATTCGGACCTTAAACTGGATGAGTCGTTTATTTTTGATGGGGTTTTTGTTAGGGGAGGTACTAACGATATCAAGCAGCTGATTCGCTCGGATCGTTATTGCCAATTTAACTGTTTTGATGACTTTTTTAAAGCTTATGAGGATTTTCTCAGTGAGTTATCTGAGGCTTTTAATTGTTGCGTTTTTGCTATGGGGGCATCTCCCCCCTGCATAAAGAAGAGAAAGGAGTGCCCGATTGGTCTTGTTTGCGACCGGAATGGTGTTCCTGTGTTACCTTAAGTGAGTTATCTGAGGCTTTTAATTGTTGCGTTTTTGCTATGGGGGCATCTCCCCCCTGCATAAAGAAGAGAAAGGAGTGCCCGATTGGTCTTGTTTGCGACCGGAACGGTGTTCCTGTGTTACCTTTAACGCCAGTTAGGGCTGAGCATTATGTTGGTCCTGACGAACGTATGGAGGCGGGCAGGATTTATCAAAAGTTTTTATATTTGAGATTGAGGTCTTTGATCGGGTACTTGAACAAAAGTGATCCTGATCATGTGGGTTGGAGGTCGGTTGTATCTCCGATCCTTTATTTGTCTCGATTTAGTATGTGCCATGGGGATATGGTAGGTTTTGGTCATATCTCTTCAAGAGGTTTGTTGGCTTTTGCCAGAGATCACAGTAATTGTATCCGAATTGGGTTAACCTGGTTGGGATTTACTGATTATCCTGTTCATCTCTGTGCGGGTAAAGCTGCTTCTTGGGGAATAGATGGTAATATTATTCCTGGGAAGTCTCCTTTTGAGGAGCATATTCATTGTGGTTCCAATGGTCCATCAGTCTTTTGCAATGGGATGGAAAGTTTTTCTGTCTCAAAGGAGCTGCATGGTGAACAAGGGGATGTGTTCAGGTTTGTATTCTCGAAAAATAGTTTAACTTTTGATTTTACAATGTTTTCCTTTTGATATACTTTCAGATTTCTGGTTCCGTCCCCCCGGTTTCTTGCTGACGAATGCTTTTTAATGGACATCTTGTGCCACAGGGTATATGATTTTGATCAACGTGGTGAGAAGGCTTCTGCTACATCGATGGTTATCATCAAAAATTGTTCTTATCGGGGCTGGGTGATTTTCAAAACCCCGACTGGTTTTTATGTTGTTGGTAAGCAAGGTCTGAGATGGATCTTGGAAAAAGATGTTGTGAGATCTGTAACGGATGGTTTTGTTTGATACTTTTTCTTTTTTGAGCTTACCATTTTTGTTACCGATCCGTTGATGTGCCTCATTTTTGTATGCGAAAGAATTTTTGCATTTTTGTCGAACGATGTATCTCTTTTTTTTTATCGAAACGTTGTGAACTATTTTGATTCGTGATGATGATTTTTTGAGAACTTTTGTTTTTGTGACTTCGAACGGGTATTATGATCGAATTTGTTATGTTCAAAAAAAAATTTTTTGTATGATGCATTTTGCACCGGAATGAACTCTTTTTCACTTTGAAAATATGTTTTATTTTGTAAAAGATTTTGTGTTTATATAATTCACCAGTATTGGAAGGGTGGTTGGATGTTCTCCTTTTAATTTGTCTTGTTGAGGTACATCCATTTCTAGTGGGATTAAGTTTCTTATTGACTGATTTGTTAAAATTACAGGGAGGGACTCATCTTGTGGG